GCTTGGTCTATATGTAGGATCTCAGTAATAGTAACTAATAATATTGCAATGATGAAACTTCTTATTCTATATTTTGTGTGTGTGGTATCACCGTTGTCAATTTCTGTGCCCATTGCTTTATTTTATTATCTTGTAATATCATATCCAGGACTGCCTATTTTGAAATAAATGATATTTCCCACTCTCTTAAAAAATCAGTCTATTTTTAATTTTTTTGTTGTTCCCAGACTTGACTAGATGCTCTCATAATACCAAAGGAAACTAAAAGAAATCTGAATTAGGTGGAAAGATGCTAGAGGTACAAGCCAGACTTCTTGTGTGGCTGACCCAAGGCTGTAGTTCTGGATGCGTACGGGAGGATGTTCTCACTTCCAGAACTTGGAAGAGAACCTCTCTAGCCCAAGATCATCAAGACAACAAAATTCTTTCCTTTAATATCTCTATGTTTTTGATATTGACAAAGGAATAGTTACTTCATTTCTCAAAAATAAGTGATTTCTTTTCCCTCTCATTTTTGGTTAAAGAATAGTTGACAGATATTCAGGGTCCAGCTTAAAAACAATTATACTATAGCGATTGACTTTAAAATTCTTATGAAGTTCTGGAGTCAGAAGTGAAAAATCATTGGCTATAGTGTTTTTAAAGCTTGTTAGATTACCAGACATACTGTCTTTAACTTGTTATTCCTATATTATCTTTGGCTATTATTACTCTTTAAAAAAATTTCTTCAAATATTTTTTAATGAACTCTCAGAAGTCATGACCACACCTGTACATTCACTTTTAACACAGTGGGTATGACTGTTTCTTCCTGGATCTTCTGAAGGATCTGTTAAGATATGAATAACATCTACATTTCTTTTTTTTATAAATTTATTTTTTATTGGTGTTCAATTTGCCAACATATAGCATAACACCCAGTGCTCATCCCGTCAAGTGCCCACCACAGTGCCCGTCACCCAGTCACCCCCACCCCCCACCCACCTCCCCTTCCACCACCCCTAGTTCGTTTCCCAGAGTTAGGAGTCTTTCATGTTCTATCTCCCTTTCTGATATTTCCCACTCATTTTTTCTCCTTTCCCCTTTATTCCCTTTCACTATTTTTTATATTCCCCAAATGAATGAGACCATATAATGTTTGTCCTTCTCCGATTGACTTATTTCACTCAGCATAATACCCTCCAGTTCCATCCACGTCGAAGCAAATAGTGGGTATTTGTCATTTCTAATGGCTGAGTAATATTCCATTGTATACATAGACCACATCTTCTTTATTCATTCATCTGTCGATGGACACCGAGGCTCCTTCCAGTTTGGCTATTGTGGACATTGCTGCTAGAAACATTGGGGTGCAGTGTCCCGGCATTTCATTGCATCTGTATCTTTGGGATAAATCCCCAGCAGTGCAATTGCTGAGCAGTGCAATTGCTGAGTCGTAGATCAGCAGATCTATTTATAACTATTTGAGGAACCTCCACATAGTTTTCCAGAGTGGCTACACCAGTTTACATTCCCACCAGCAGTGCAAGAGGGTTCCCCTTTCTCCACATCTTCTCCAACATTTGTGGTTTCCTGCTTTGTTAATTTTCCCCATTCTCACTGGTGTGAGGTGGTATCTCATTGTGGTTTTGATTTGTATTTCCCTGATGGCAAGTGATGCAGAGCATTTCCTCATGTGCTTGTTAGCCATGTCTATGTCTTCCTCTGTGAGATTTCTGTTCATGTCTTTTGCCCATTTCATGATTGGATTGTTTGTTTCTTTGCTGTTGAATTTAAGAAGTTCTTTATAGGTCTTGGAAACTAGCCTTTTATCTGATATGTCATTTGCAAATATCTTCTCCCATTCTGTAGGTTGTCTTTGAATTTTGTTGACGGTATCTTTTGCTTTGCAAAAGCTTCTTATCTTCATGAAGTCCCAATGGCTCATTTTTACTTTTGTTTCTCTTGCCTTCATGGATGAATCTTGCAAGAAGTTACTGTGGCCAAGTTCCAAAAGGGTGTTGCCTGTGTTCTCTTCTAGGATTTTGGTGGAATCTTGTCTCACATTAAGATCTTTCATCCATTTTGAGTTTATCTTTGTGTATGGTGCAAGAGAGTGGTCTAGTTTCATTCTTCTGTATGTGGATGTCCAATTTTCCCAGCACCATTTATTGAAGAGACTGGAAAAAAGAAAAAAAAATCTACATTTCATAGCTTTGCTTTAGTCTTTCAAAGTTATCTTCATAACTTCTTAAATTTCTGATATCTTTTGACATTTCAAGGGGGAAAAATGTTTCCAATATTTTATTTTATTCCACAATTTGATTAGTTCTGTTTTTGTGGAAAGTCACATCCTTGGTATATTACTATATATATATATTCCATTTATAGGAATGTATTCTAGGTACAGGAAATATAACTTTCTGTGAAACTAAAATTACAGATTGGAATAGCATTTTTTCATCACTTATTATTGACTGGTTTGTTATAGACTGAGAGATTGAAGCACAAAGAGATATAACTTGTATTAAGCTACATACTTAAAAATGATGCTGGGTGGTGCAGTAGATTAAGCGTCTGACTCTTGATTTCAGCTCAGGTAATGATCTCAAGTGAGATCAAGCCCTCCATAGAGTGTGGAGTCTGCTTGTCCCTCTCCCTCAGGCCTTCGTCCCACACTCCCATGTGCTCTCTCTCCCTCTCTTGTTCTTTCTCTTTCTGTATCTAAAACAAATAAATAAAATCTTTTTTTACAAATGATACTAGAAATGGACAATTCATGATGTTCTTGAGCCAGTTCATATTGGCTGTTGTACAAATTTGGTGATCAAAAACAGGACAGAGCTTATGGAAAACTACTATTGCCTGTTCTGTTACTAATTTAATACAAGAATTACTGGAATTTATGTGTATTTTCTGATCTATTAGGTAGAGCATGCAATCTATTATCTCATAGTCAAATTACAGAAAATGAAATTATTTGGAAACTTAAGATAATAATAGCATTTATTTTATAGTCCTATAAGAATCAGTAGCGATTGGTGAAATACAGCATTCCTTGTGACCCCAAACCTGAATTAAAAGCATGGAGAAGCCAATTAAGAGACCTGAACTCAAAGAACATTATGAGAAGAAAATGATTGTCACTATGATATTTTGTCCCTATAAGGGATTAAGGCAATTAGAAGGAAGAAGGAAGAATGAAGAAAGTTTTTAACAATTAAAATTGAAAATGAATAGGGGTAAGGTGTTCCTAGATATTATGAGTGGGTTGTTGTAAATGTCAATTAATTTACCTATAAAGAAGTGTAAAGAATAATGAAGAAGAGCTTAATGTGGGAAGAAATGTTTTTTTAAAAACAAACATTGACATTATAAGGACCTAGGCATCTTAAATGGAATGACCATTAAAATGCAAAATTAGACTGAACGGAGGCATTTTGGAGATTATATATGAGTAGCATACTAAGTGTTAGATAATGAATGACTCACGTAACCTGAGTGGTTTGGGCTGACTCACATGTTTTGGAAGAAGGTGTCATCAAATCCCTGATATTGTCATATTTTTCCCTTTGTTCCACCTGTTAGTGCCAAACAAATCCTGAAATTCAGGGACTTTTTAAGCTTCAATTTGCCAGAAAGACTTTCCAAACTACCAATAACAAGTCTAAGGTTTTGTTTTGTTTTGTTTTGTTTTAAGACTTATTTATTTATTTGAGAGAGAGATTGCACAAGCAGGGAAAGGGCAGAGGAAGAGAGAGAATCTCAAGCAGACTCTCTGGTGAGCATGGAGCCCAATGCAGGGCTCAATGCAGGGCTCAGTCTCACAATCCTGAGATCATGACCTGAGCCTAAATCTAGAGTTAGACACTTACCCAATTGAGCCACCTACATGCTCCAACAAGTCTAAGGTCTTGAAATATAGAGGCATTTAGTATATCTGAATAATACTAAGAAACACTAGCCATGTATGTAACTATGGAACATGGAGGAGATAGGAATCCCAGACTGAGCCTTCACAGAATAGGAATGGAAGAATCAAGACTGAGCTTGGTTTGTCCAAGATAGAAGAAAGGAGCCTTTTCACTCCAATGCTGTTAAATGATGCTTCCTGGAAGGCATTTTAAATCCACAAATATTATCTGATACCCAAGGTAGGAGTAGGAAACATATAGAAGGGATCCTGGCCTCTATCCTCAAATAGCTCACAGAGGGAAACTGACATAAGAACTACTGGAATAGTTTGATACATTATGATACATCTGAGAGCAATATTTTGGAGGGTGAGCACAAAACAGTGAGTTTCTTGCACCACTAGGACTACAAGGCCCTCATAGAGGAAGTGGCATTTGGCTGGGCCTTGGAGGATGAATTAAAATCCTAAATATCCAAATAGGAAAAGCACTCCAATCAAAGGTAAGAACCACATATGGAAGAAAGAGATACGGGAGTATAGATGTTGAGGTATGTTCAGAGAATAGTTAATGATCAGTCTCGTCACAGAATTGAGGAAGTAGAAAAAGATGAGTTGGGAATATGGGACACAGAGATATGCCCGATCAATGTAGCTCTCTTGTTATGGTATACATGACCTGTGTCTTGGAATTGTCCCTAGTCCTGTCAGGAATATATCTCACCCAAAAAAGTGCTATTCATGTACACCTGTGATTTGGTTTCTTGGCAAAGGACCAATTTGGTGATGAATAACAATAATCTAAGACAAGATTGTGATCTCTTCTATATCTGGCCCTGATCTCCTTTCCATTCTTTATATTCTTAGGTGGCACAGAGTGCTAAGAACTTACAGTGCTGAGTCTTTGATAAACATCTGTCGAAAATACTAATAAGTCATATGCACGTGCACACAGAGACACATACATACAAATGAAGAAATTTTCATTGCTTTTTGAATGTTCAAATTTAACTGGTGTTTTGCAACTAAAAATATCATTCCTTTGAATGTTGCTTGGGATATTCAAATAGAAAATAGATTTCCTTGACCCTTTGTTGTTTTCCCACAGGATTGAAAAAACGTACAAGGAAGGCCTTTGGAATACGGAAGAAAGAAAAGGACACTGATTCGACGTACGTACTCTGGGAGGGCCCAACTGCTCAGCCGCAGCAGACGGACCACATGTGGCCATGTGGAAATGCAGATCTGGTGTGGTCAGCTGCACTTCAGAATAAAGAGCCTATTAAACTCTTTATTTGGCTAGAATCCCTGAAAGAAAGTTAGAAAATGGGAAAATTCACAGTTCTGTGGACACAGGTGAAATCAAAGAGAACTACCTTTATTTCTCACCTTTAGCTTTTCATTCTGTACCCTTTTATCATGCATAAATTTTTGCACAAGACCCAAACACTGCTCTGTGTCCTTGTCCTCCAAGAACTTATAAATCATGAGATAAAATATCTACCATACCAAAGAAATATCCTTCATATAACAAAATGATATAACAGTTGAAATGCCTTGTATGGTACCTTCTACTTAGTAAATGCTCAGTAAATGGCAAGTGGATGCTAGTCTTATTACTAAGACAAATTAATATGTGGTGAGTTCCTTATAAGCAATTAAAAATGAAATTTTATGGAAAATTGAGGATGGTTAAACTCATGTTTGGGCAGATGATCAGTGAAATCTCAGAGAGGGAGGAGCCTTGAGTTTGGACTTGGAGAAAATAAAGACGCATCTCATGCAAAAGGACCAACAAAGCCAAAGCAGAGAGGTAGAAAAGTCAAGTAGGTATTCAGGACAAGATAACTAGGGCAGTTTGTCTACCTGATGGCTACAGGTAAAGGTGGTAATGGTGGGCAAGCCTAGAAAGGACATTAGGGCCAGATAGAAGGGCTTTAAGGGCCAGGTTGAGGTGTCTGGTCTTCTTTTCTAAGGCACTGGGCAATCTTGAAGCCTTGAAGGCTTTTAAACCAGACAGGGTAAGGAGTTTTGTAAGGGGAGGAAGCTATTTTTTGTCTAGATCTCACATGTTAAAAATCTGTTCTTATCTTTTCTTTATACTTTTCTTTTGGTAGATCATTATTTCATGGAAATCACATTTACTCTAGTCTTGCAAATTTTTCAAAATGATTGAATTAAGAATGTATTTCTGAGATTTATGTAATCTCCATTAGTTCTTAAGAAATTGCCATTGTCTAAAAATGAACCAGCCAGAATAGGTGATGGTACATTCACCAGAGTCAGAAGACTGGGACTTTGTTCCAGCACGGCCAATAGCTCCTCGGCCTTCGGAATAAATTTTACTTTCCTGGGCCTCAGTTTATACTAGATGGAATCTGATTCCTGTAAAGGGCCAGACACTGTACCAGTTCATCTGTCAGTGACATCTGTTGTCACCTACAGCATGCCACGTCTTGTGTGGGACACTACTGTAGCGTCTTAACCATCTCTTCTTAACTTCTTATCATTTGAGCACCCCAGATTAAGTACATGTTAGCAAATTAGCCATTGACTAGTTCTACCAGCAATGACGGTCAAAGAACAGGCTGTTTATTGTAAACCTTGGCTTTTCATGAACCCTTGCTCTCTAATTGGGTCATACATCATTCTTGCAAAAGGCTGGGAAGATGTTCCAGCAATTTGCTGTCCCTTCAGCTTTAGGTAATGCTTCTGTTCGGCTGCAATCACTGAAAGCTTGTTGATGCAAACTGTTTTCAGGACTGTCGCAAATCTGTGAGGGTTGCCAGGCAACCTGCTACAGTTAGCCAGCCAGCTCCAACTATAACTGATTGTACCTCCTTAAATAGAGAGGGGGCTTAGGACCAGAGCTTCCTGATTTGATCATCATTCCAGTGGCCGATAGAGGAAAAGAGAGAGCTGGTGCTAAGTGGCAGGCCCTGGACAGGGTATTTTCTATGTACTGATATCCTTTTTAATCCTCATGGTGATTCAATAAGGTCAGAAGTAATATCTCAATTTTAGAGATGAGAAATCAGTGCCAAAAGGGATTAAGTAACTCTCTGAAGGCTATCTGGAAAATAAGACTTAGAGCCAAGATTCTAGTCCAGAATCAAATGCCCATTCTTTATCATCCAGAAGAAAAAGACTAGATGGGCAAAATTATAATCAAGACCACAATCAGAGGAAGGAAGGGGCAGTGGTTGCAATAGGTTACTGACACTTCTTAAAATAGAGACAAAGCTTTAAGAGAGGTCAGTAAATATGATGGTCTGCTGTTAAAAAGAAAAAAAAAGATTTATTTTTAAAAATATATAAAACTTCATAAGATGGAGTTAGGAAATGAGTTGAAAATACATTCAAGAGTCTGAGACTGTTAATATCATTCTACTCCCCGTCCTAGATCAGACTGTATAATAATTTTATTTTAGATTACATTTCATGAATATTTACCATATTCTTCTATTAATTCGTTGAATCCTTTAATAGACCTATGGGGTATATGCCAATTTCATGACTATTTAGTAAATGAGGAAACTGAGACACTAGGGGTAAAACAACTCGCCCAAGGTGATGCAGTTAGGAATCCAGGTTGATTGAATCCAGGCAGTCTGGTACTACAGCTGGTGATCTTCACTGCCATGCTTACTGCTGCCATACTAGGAAGCACCAGCCTCATTCCATCAATGGTTAAGACAAAGGCAGAATAAAACGCAATGCTGTGATGTATAATTACAGTGCTTCTGATTAAAATTTTGAAATGCCATCCCTATAGCTGAAAAATGCATAAAGTCAAGTGGCCTCTCATTTAGATCCCCTATTGATATACTCTTGTACTTGGACCAATAGTGGGCAACACCACAGCCAGGCCTTTCTCCAGAGCCTGTCTTTTCCACATCTATGACTTGCTGCCCGCAAAGACATATCCACAAGGATAAGTGCCTTTGAATATATCCTACCCCAAAGTTGATACAATGACCTCTCTCAATTTCTTTCAAACAAGTTTACTATCTTAGTAAGAAATGCTCCTTGTTTTGTGTGTGGTGTAGAGATCTGAAAAGGGCAAGTTGTTTTTGATGAGTGTGGATCAATGCCTTTTCTCTGTACTTTCTGTCCAATCTGGGCTTATTTTGGCCATAATGACCCATTGGATTTACTTGCCTGTCTCATTCTTTTTATGAGGAGCATATCTTCATTACTTCTATCCCCTGATTCTAGCCTAGTATCTGGCCCATCAGAAGCACTCAATGTTTGTTCAATGAATTCTAACTTTTATCCACTTTTATGTTCCTACCCTTCTATTTTAGGTGAAATTTCTTTGAACCAGCTCATTCCCATAGCCAGGTTCAAAGACCCTAAGATTTCTGTCAACTCCTATGGGTCTTTTAATATCTGGGTCCTATCTGCTTCTAGCCCATGTATCACTGATTCACCTCTGCATCCATCTACATGGACACAGAACTGGTTGTGAAAAATGATGTACTCCTACCAAGCATTTTGTAATCCAAATGGAATATCTTGCTAAATTTGAAAGACATGTTAGTGGGAAAGGGGAGTCACATCTTGGAGCCCAGAAGATGTGCCACCAACTCTCTGCATCTCTCTCTTCCCCTTTTCCTCCCTCTCTCTCCTCTGCCCCACTCTATGAATCAGTAAGGAATGTTGTTACATTCTTCTAAAGAATGGTCCCACCTTCTAAAGAACAGTTCCAACCACAGCAAACTCCACAAAACTTCATAGTCCACTTCAAGCACCTATTAAGTTTTTCTTCCAAACAATGCAAGTCTTCATCTAAGCATAATTCTGGTCCCCACGTTAATAGAATGACATTTTTTCTAGCTCCTTACAGAGTGAACTAAAATCGGAAGTTCTAAAGTTACAGTGACTAGCCTCTCGCTTCTCCCTTACTCTAGCTCCTTCATTTCAGTTTTCCAGAGAAACAGTGATATTACTTGCTGTGAAGTCTAAAAGGACTGCAAGTGGTCAGTTTTGTGTTCTTAGTGAGGAGACATAATGAACGAGGGGGAAAAATGATAACAAATGAACATTCTAAAATACTATGTGTCAGGAACTAATTGTAAATTCTTTATACCTTCTCTTATTTAAACAATCTCAGAGAGATTAAGTACTGTATTCAAGGTCACAGAACTAATAAGTGGTGGAGGCTGAACACCCAGATTTATCCTACACTAGAACCCTTACTTTTTGGCACTACAGCACAGTGTCACCAGGAATTAATTATCCTGGACTTCAATCAGCAGAGCGAGCCATTTAGCAAATATTGTCCTCCATTTCCTGCTCTCCTCTAATCAAAGGTACAGTAAGTATAGAAATAGGGAAGAAAATACAGATTCTCAAAGTAAATAGAAAAACACCATAGGCGCTCCTTTCTAGAGGGGAAAATTCAAGACCAGTCACAGGGGAGAAGATGAGAGAGGACAAGTCAGTTCACATTCCTTGTGGTAGTTTAATGGAGCCCACTGAGTAAGATAGACTCTTAATAAACTCCCCTCTCAAAAGTGGACCAAGGCACTGCACTAGCAACCTGTGCCTTTTGGACACCAGCTTTTAATGAGAATCTGCCTTCCCACCCACCCTCACTCCCCCAACCCTGATAGATACACATCCCACAATCAAATATCATTCAGCCAATTCATTTTGATTGAGTTTGCATTAGCCAGGTTCACTGGGGTGGGAATGCAGGAAAGGGGGAGAGAGGTGGTTTGTGAATCTTAATCGTTGTGCGTTAGTTTATGTAGCAAGAATGATTCCTTTCCTAATAGCTACCAATTTCTTTTTGTTACAGAGGTTCACCAGATAGAGATGGAATTGTAAGTATTTAAATGACCATTTTCAGTAGGTTTGCACTTCAATATACACTATGTTTAAATTTCTTAAAGCCCCATTTTTTTTTTCTTATAGGGAAAAAATAGCCTAAATGACTTTTCAGACCTCTCACTGCTATAATTTTCTGTAGTAATTGCATGGGACATACAAATGCAGTCTTGGTCAAGTTAAACTTATTTATTGCATTCACCTAAAATCCTGCCCCAGAGTAGGCAAGCAAACCTCATCAATATGGTGGGTCAAAAGCCAGACAGTTCCTGCAGGGGCTGCTACCATTAACTGTTATTTCATTTCCAACTTAATGATATAAAAGCTCATTAAGTGAGAATGTTTTTCTCCAACAGAGGCCACAAAGTCATAATGGAGCTGAGATCCAATAAAATTGAAAGAAGCTTTTCCCCTTTAGTTGAGTTGTAGATACATTTTCTATATTAAATTCCTAAGTAGGGAATGGTCTTGAAACCACTTATGCCTGAATTTAGAGCCTGAAGGAGGAAAATGTGTCCACTGGGTTTAGGCTTAACGGTGACTCTGACTCCTTGCTGGCCACCAGATTTCTTGCTTCTTTAAGAAGTCTGTGGCACATGGCCTTGGATTTATCTGAGTTGAGCTTATGGGAGTCTGTACCAACTTGTAAAATGACTTCCTCCGAATCTAAATCAGATGCCTATTCAGAAGGTTCAAAAGAACAGCTGTTACTGAATAAGAAGAGCGACTCACATTAGGCTCATTGGGCTGGAGTGGGAACTAAAATAAATCTGGTGGTTAAAAATATATATTTTTTTAAAAATCACCCTTTATAATATTATACCCAAACTGAGGTGTTAATTGCAGCCATAGCTGAAGTTTTTCTTCCACACTTGACTCAAGGTTCTTAGCTGTGGGGTCCCTTTGCATTCATGTAGTTCTCGCCATGAAATGTTAAGAAAGTAGACTGAAATTGATCAGACATTGGGTAACGCTATAATCAAGGCTCTATTCAGCAGGGGAAAAAAAAGACCCAGAAGACTCAGCTTCTCCTCACCTCTTGCTTCTGGCTCAGAGCCCTCTCGTTAACTCTGTCTCAGGTACTCTCTGCTTCTGTGTCTTCTCTCTGCTTCTGTCCTGGCCCCTCCCTGGGTTCTCTTGTCCCCCTCATTCTGACCTCGGCAAGGCTCTGTTAGCTCTTCTCTGCTTCTGTCCCTGCTGCTCCCAGGCTGGGCCGCTATCTCCTGCTTCTCTCGCTCTGCCACCCTCACCCTTGTCCTATTTTTCTCTGAACCCCTTCCCCCTCGTGCCCCCCCACACACCTCCTCATCCCCTAGCCCTCCATTGTCTCTGAGGCCCCATTGCTACCTCAGTGTTCTCTGCTCTTCTAGGGCCATCAGTTTAATTCCCTGGTGGAACACGCAGCTCTGGCATGTAGGTCCAGCCCTGGCAGGCAGCGGGCGGTTATGAGTACGCGCTGCATTAAAGAGCCCAGCCGGGATTCTGGGGACTTGTGCACCTGAAGTCAGGGCTTCCTACCCAAGTTCCCTGAGTTCTCTTTCTCTGCCACCATTCCAAGTCATATAAAGTTATCTATCAACCATTGTACCCTTCTCGTTCCCTAATTGGAAATGCCGTAAATACCACTGGTCATGATTTTAGGAAAGAGGAATCATTCAATTTTGATTTCTCAGGAAATAAAGCAGACCTGTTTGGAAAAAAAGGCTACATTCAAAATAAATGCAATGTTCTCAGAAGCAGGATGAACAGATTCTTAGGTAACTGGAAATTATTAGCCAGCTGTTAGTTTTACCATTTGGAAAAACTCCCCCAAATACTCCTAGGTCACCAAATTCTGAGAACTTCCTTATCGTATCACTGCTATGATATGATAGCGCTCCAGCCCAGGAGAGCAAGTTCCTGTTTGCATTCAGTCCTCAGAGATCTCAATCTGATTTTCTTTCAAACTCAGACTGATTTCTTTAATATCCTCTATCTGTGAATCCAGACAGACTTTCTTTTACCTCTTTTTACCTGGCTGATTTAGCTTCCAAATCATTGTCTTTTGAAAAGTATCTGAGGTTGAAATGTATGGTTTCACTAATGTGGTTTGCAAACTGCAGGTGGTGGTGCACACACTTAATGCTTATAAATGGCTGTGCAATAAGTTTGATGTCCTGATGCTTATTTAATTTGTTCCTCAAAACTTAAGGAAGCCTATCTCTGGTGACAATGCTTTTGAAGGTTAGTCTACAGAGGCTTCATGGCAGGGCTGCATGTACAAAGGTGGGCTTGTCTTGATCCCCACTGGTGAATGTTTCCCCAGCAGAGCTCTCTGTCATGACATCTGAGACTTCAGGCAGCTGCGTGTGACAATGCATTCTAACTCAGAGACAAACTCTAATTTGCGCAGGATACACTGACATGTTTTCAGATTTCCATCCACACAACCTGGGGGGCTCAGGGAGTCCCAGCCATTGCTGTGAGAGATCTCTGCTCCTCCTGAACACATGCACAGGAAAAGGGCCCAGATTTGGAGCTGTCAGCTGTTCATGCTGTATGTATTTGCCAACCCCCAGGAAGGCTTTGATAAAAGGAAAATATGGTAGAGCTAGATTTTTCAGACTTCTATTGGAAGTGTAAGCATTTTTATTTAGTCTCTTAGCTGTGTCCTGGTGTCTGTTCTCTACCTATAAATTGAGTGCTGGCTGAATAAGGACTAATTCCACATAAAATCTAGTGCCTGGGTTGCATCTTCCTTCTTCTTCCTTCTTCTCCTGGCCTAGCCAAACTGGCCTGCTGAATAGAGCCTCATTATGGGCCCCAAAGTCCATCTTTGCTTAAGGAACCCTGCCAAGATTGGTAGGCCCTCCGATTTGGTCTAGAAATTGTTTCTTCTATGGTATGTTTGCTGACTCCATGTGATTCTTTATATGTGTCTTGAAGAACAAACAGATCCTTTAACAACTTTTTTCTACATGAAAACAATCAATTCCAGCAGCCCAGCCCACATGAACCACCCTACAATAACAAAGCAGAGTGTGCTCGTGAAGGAGGAAAAAAAGTTTCGGTAAGGAAACAGATTTTAGTTTAAAATTTGCAAGGGGTGGTAGAAACAGTGAGTAAAATCCCAATTTGAAATTTGGAGAAAAAAAAAAACAATAGCATTTATTTAATCAATTTGAGAAGGTTTTCTTAGGTATTTCCAAATTTTACTCTTGAATATCCAGGACCAATTTTTAAATCAGCCATATAGACCTTACTGACATTTGAAAATACTACCAACGAGTGATCTGGTATAAAAAGATATGTGTTTCCTTTGTCTTAGACAAAGGACAGAGATCCAAATTTTTAAAATAATCTGTTATCTATAAGAAAGCTTTGGCTATAATATAAACATCACCATACAAAATGAGTAGTCATTTATGAGGATAAGCACTATCTCAGTAACATCAAGAATTTGACAGGACCTTGGCTTGTGGGAACCAATGTACTTGACCAAAGGTTGGTGAGTCAGGGATGCTGACCCAGGCCCAGATTATCAGCAACTATGGCTGTGTTTTCCAGTGTGGTAACCACATATGCCTATTCAAAATTCAGTTCCTCAGTTGTACCTGCTGCATTTCAAGTACTTCATATGAAGCTACTTGTGGCTGGTGTCTATTATATTGGAAAGCGCACATACAGAATATGTTCACATTCACAGACAGTTCTATTGAACAGTGCTGTTCCATAGGATTATTTACAAAGTGAGTCAAGTCTTGCCTCAGTGGCCAAAAGATAATATTTATGTAGTATATCATGTATCTTTAATATTTCATGTCCAAGGAACACTATGTGGCCATGAGCTGACCTTGGAAAAGAGGAGCATTCACAGTGGAAATTGAGAACTTTGATGAATGTATAATTGAACACTGTTGTTACTACATATATTGATTTAGCCCATCACATTATCTGAAAGCAGATCATAAGCCTGACCAAAGTAAAATACCTATTTTAGCATGACTAACGTTGATCGAGCCTCAATTATCTTTAAATAAGTCATATATTCAAATTAGAAAAGTTACTTATGCTAATGTAGAATTTTAGAAAATACAGAAAAAAAAGAATATGTAACTTCAACTCCAAGAGAAAAAAATCAGTGTTCATATATTAGTGAATATCCAATATTGTTTTTACAATGAAGCCTAGTCTTTAATTGATATTTTCCTATTTATATTGCTTCTTGCTTCCTCAGTGTTTCCAATTGAAAATTGAAAGAGCCATCACCTTGCCTATTATTGCTATGAGCTGTACCTTGCATCAGTGGTTTAACCAGAAGAATTGCTTTTTTTCTTGGGGTTTGACCAGAAGAATTTCAGCCAGGCTCTAGCCAAGCTTTAACTTGACAATTTCCACTTGTGAAACGAAATATATCTATATTATCTGCTAGCACAAATGAGGCCAAATTGTCAGTTCCTCTGGTAAAGCCGTATATGTGTGTGTGTATTTGTGTGGTGTGCTTGTATGCTGACTATCTGCCCAAAAATGTATTGTTTATGATTTGTTGTTTGTGTCTGGTATTTGTGTTAAAAATGTTTCTAGTTTAAAAGGAAATTTCTTTTTTTAGATTTTGCTTTATCTTCATCTCAATCTTCTATATTAGTTTCCATGGAAACTGGGAAATTTTCAACTCAGCCCAGATCTAGAAAATTCAGTAACTTTTATTCATAATGTTGAATATGTATTCTCAGGAATGATACACACACCCACACACACACACGTTTATTTATTTATTTAGCTGAACATATAAACTATCTTGGTTGTAAAGGGCTTTGGTTATGGAGATGAGACTATTAATAGAAGCAAACTAGAATTTTGATCTCAGTAATTTACCTAATCTGTTTGGTTTTTAGATAACTATCCTTTGTATTGAAAAAATGTTTAGTATATTATATATACTATATATATTATATATATTATATATATATTATATCACTATAGTGATCACAAAATTTGTGAGTTCTTTGGAATCAACTTTGTTCGTTTGATTTCCCATTATCATAAATTAAATTTGTATATTGAATTTATAAATATACTTGTTAAGAAAGCTTTGAAGAACTTTGCAAAGAAGTCATATGGTAACCAATTGGTAAAGTAGGAATTAAAAAAGAAAGCAAGAGAGCAAATATAACAAAAAGAAGATAGGAACCATGCCCTTTCTCCCTGGGAGAGATTTTTTATTATTGGATAGCCCATTATGTAATGGACCATGTCCTTAACTCTGTAGCTTTTAGAGGTACAAGGTTGACTTGGCAGGTTTTAAAAATGCCCTTTGTTCAAATTAGGGAGAATATCATCAAAACACTAATTCAATAAAGGCAATTCTGTGAGAAGGTTAAAATGTTGTAGTCTGACAAAGAATATGATCTTTGTCAGGAGCAAAACAAAATAAAAGAGGGTTACAGAACCTATGTTGCTGGATGCTGGAGGCATGTCTGAGTTCTTGTATTTGTACACTAGCGCAGTGCTGGTGGATAAGGAAAGAGAGGACGTGGACGCAATATCCATGCCTCCCCCACTCTTCACCCTAACTGAACTGCTAGTTCTTAGAATGCCTAGGCCAACATCCAATAAGTCCTAGCCAATGACCATGGTTACTAGGTTGCCTCTAATTTGCTTTTCTAGTGCTACACATACATGAAAAGCTTACTTCTCCTACCTATTTGTCAAATTAGGTGTTGGCTGTTCACATTGTAGTTCCAGTGGACTTTACCTGTGATTGTAAAATTTGAAGTCCTGTCCTCACCCTTCATGCTTCACCATTTTTGATATGTGCTGTTCTGAGATCTGCTAGTGCTTGGTGACATAACATTGCTGTATGTGCTAAATATAGGAATGTTGTTAAATGGACTCTCCATTACCAACCTGATTTGTGTTTTTGTCCTTTGCTCACAAAAAAGTAGGAAATCCTAGAAATCTCTATTTGTGTGTTGCCACATCCTTGCTCAAGTGCTTGTGGCCATTATCGTGATTGTTCTAGTTGCTAAAATAGAACTTGAATAGAATCCAGAGAGAGTAACGCTGATATCTAGTCATCTTTCAATGATGTATGCTCATGGAGGCATAGAACACACAGATGACAGAAATCCACAGTCAATCCTTGAATCCTATACTTGAAAAGAATACCAACACTATTTTTAATACCTAGGAGCTGAATTAATTCAGAGTTGATTTCCTTTACATTCTATCAAGGAGGTGGTTAGGGAAAAGTTGAGTCAGTGTTAGAAAAGCTAAAGGAAGGTTAGTTAATGACTTGAATACTCTTTAGACATGTTGGAACTAATTGTATATAAAAGCAACATGAAAGTCAATCCTCCATACCTCCCCTTAAGGTATGGAGGATTAAATTATAATGTAGATACTTCTAATTTTTCAGTAACTGAATAAAATTTGAACAGCTAGCTGTTACCATCCCTATGCTTAGGTATCCTACAGTCTTTTGTGAAATAAGTATGTAAGCTCTTTTATGCAGTGTCACAGCAGCTCAATTTACCATTCAGTTACACCATTGTGGTTGCTTAATAGGCTGCTCTAATTTGTCTTTCCAGTGCTGGATTTTGATAGCTCTTGCTAAATAGAGATAAGAGTTAAGTGTTCTTTGTTCCTTTTTTTTAATTCAAAAGTTTCTATTCTAAATTTATTTTCAAATTTATTGCAGAAGAAAAGCAATGGGGCACCAAATGGATTTTATGCGGAAATTGATTGGGAAAGATACGTGAGTATCAGAAGATTATTTTTCTTTATTAAGTGTTTCACGATTTGAAAATGAGTCGAGGCATCCTTATGTTTATAAAAGGCAAAGAAATAAGTGAACATTCTCCATTTCATTAGGCAGTGCCTGGCATGCTTAGGGTGATAGAGAGGTTAAGGACACTAGAGTCTCTAACACTGGATTCAAGACCCAGCCCTTCCATATATCAGCTGTGTCTGGCTTTGGGATAGTTGTTTGCTAACCAGCAGAAATGAAGTCAGTAGTTACTTTATAACATTGAGAGGGTTCAATGAGCTAATGATTTGCAGATTATATCAGTACCTGCCTAGCCTGTGATATGTGTTCCAAAAATAGGCTTTTTAAAATATTAACTCCAGATTTTACAGTCCTGGTTTTTTTTCTAAGCATCTTTGAGAATCAAGTCAAGTCAGTTAACCTTTGGGGCTTGGTTTCATAGTGTCTTAGTCCATTCAGTCTGCTATAACAAAAATACCATAACTTAGTGGCTTATAAATAACAAAAATTTATTTCTAACAGTTGTGTAGGCTGAGAAGTCTGTTGTTATGGTGCCAGCAGATTTGGTGTTTGGTGTGACTGGTTGTGCGCCCACTTTCTGGTTTGTGGATGCACCTTCTAGCTGCAACCTCACTGGGAAGTTTTTGTAAGGGCACTCAGCCCAACTATGATGGCTCCTCTCTTATGCCCTACCTCCCAAAGGCCCTACTTCCTAACACCATCACTTTGGGGTTAAGGTTTCAACATATGAATTTGGCAGGAACACAAACATCCAAACCATAGCACAAAACAATTATTAGAACTTCATGGTACAGACTATTCCCAGGTCAAGTGACAATCATTCGTTGTTTTCAAGGAGTGAGCATACTCTCAGCTAAGACCTAAACTCTCCACCGGATTCCCCTGGAAATGGATTCACATCATCAACACCTACTTTGCCAATCACAATAGGATAGCCACAATCATTCTTGGATTTCCAATCATGTAAAACATGTAGATCATATTCATATCAAAGATCATTTCTATTGTAGAGTAGGTGCCCAATTCACAATCCCTATAAAAAGCTTTTGCATGTATATCCATTAGATGAATATCTTGACCCAGCCTCCCCTATTATAAAAGTTAATATTGATATTAAAGCTTTTCCATATTTCTTAACAATAATTTTATTTTTACTTTATTTTATTTACTTATTTGACAGAAGAGAGAGTGCACAAGCAGGAAGAGTAGAGGGAGAAGCAGACTCTCTGCTGAGCAGGGAGCCTGAGGAAGGGCTTGATCCCAAAACCTTGGAATCATGACCCGAGGCAAAGGCAGCCACTAAACCAACTGAGCCACTCCGGAGCCCCAATATTTTATTTTTACAATAAATAATACCACCATTTATTGACTCTGTCAGTCATAATACCAAATGCTATGGATCCTTACCACCCTAAAAAGCAAACACATTTTTGCATTTCACATAAAAGAAAGTTGAACCTCAGAGAGGTTAAATTCTTGATGCTTCCCATTCCTGCAGTCTAAAACGGGTCAGTCTGCCAACCTCATCACCTGGTCCTCTCTATCTGTTTCCCAGGATCGGGATCTTTTAGGTATTTTTAGCAGTTCAGCTCCCTAAAATCTATCCCAACACCCATGTTACACTAAATCCAAATTTTTCACAAATATGTTACCCTAAATCTAAATTGTTCACAAATAAGGGGAACTACTAAATATTAAGAAAGTGTGATTTGTTTTTCCAGAGTTAGTCCTTCATTACCTAGAAGGACTTTGTAAGGACTTTTGTATTTTGTAAGATTCTTTAATACACGCAAAAAAAAATGGCATACTCTAAGCAAACAAGAAGTATGACAATAAAAATACCAAATCACTTATCAAATCACATACTACTCCATCTAAACCCTACACTCTAGTGCTATCCTTGGTCAACATGTGAATGCTTAAATGAAGTATAATTTTCCTCATATTTATTTAGTCTTGAAAACTAATTAGGTCATGTAGGAATTGCTGTTGCAATTCTACACTAGACACTACCTTCTTTAAGTCATAAGAAAGGTTTTATTCTTAAAAGATTATGTCATCTTGCTTTTGGCAGGGAGAGGTGAGAGTATAGGAGACCCCAGAGAAGATGTGACCTTAAGCAGAGCCCTTAAGTATAGTAGGGATTAACTGGCTGAACGTTTGAGGGGAGACAATTCCAGGCAGAGAGAATGGCATTTATAAGGACCCTGAAGTGGGAAAGAGCTTGTGTATTCAGACAATATAAGTCAACAATGGAAAGAAGGCCCTGTAGCTGAGGGGCTTCAAGGAAGGGAAGCTCAGACCTAAGCCAGGTCACGAGGGCCCTGGGCTGCACAGAAGCATTGGACTTCCTTTCTTTTTCCTTTTTTTTTTTGAGATTTTAATTATTTATTCATGAGAGACGCAGAGAGAGAGGCAGAGACAGAGGCAGAGGGAGCCGCAGGTTCCCAGCAGGGAGCCTGATATGAGACTCAATCCCAGGACCCCAGGATCACGACCTGAGCCAAAGGCAGACACTCAACCAGTGAGCTACCCAGGCATTCCTGGGCTTTCATTATAAGTGCAGTAAGAGGCCAGGGACAAGTTTTTAGCACAGAAGTGACCTCAATACACTTGCATTTTTAAAAAAGTAAACTTGAATACTAAAGAACAAGAGGTAGACAATAAATGCTTAGGAAATGATGGCTTTTCCATAGCATTCAGGCCTTCCTTCTCTCCATGGTCATAGCACTTTTATCACTTTGGGGACTCCAAAATCTCTCTCTCCGGTTCTGTCCTTTCTCACTTCCAAGGCCTATAATCTCCCCTTTAAAAAGGCCACCTTTGAATGGATTCACCTGCATCCCTTCTAGGGCACAGGGTGTAGTCTCAAATGTCTGGAGTCACAGCACACAGGTCTACCATTTGCTGTGTGTGTGTCCTTGGGAAATGGCATCTCATTTTTCTTACTTTCCTCCTTAGCAAATAGTTCTTTCCACGTGGGATTGTCATGAAGGTTCGATGCAATAAAGTGTAGGTTATAGTACTTACCATATAATAGGAACTTAAAGATGATAATACTAATCCCAATTATGCAAACTCTCCTGTATCTTTCCTCCTTTTAAAAATGTTAGTTATGGGATCCCTGGGTGGCGCAGCGGTTTAGCGCCTGCCTTTGGCCCAGGGCGCGATCCTGGAGACCCGGGATCGAATCCCACGTCGGGCTCCTGGTGCATGGAGCCTGCTTCTCCCTCTGCCTGTGTCTCTGCCTCTCTCTCTCTCGCTGTGTGCCTATCATAAATAAATAAAAATTTAAAAAAAAATGTTAGTTGTGTGCTGTTATAATTAGCTCATTAGGGAATACCAGCAGTGTCCCACAAACTGAGAGTAGAAATCTTGGAGTCTTTTTTGACCCTTCCCTCTCCTTTTTTTCCTATGACAGATGTTACAAAGAACTAAGCACTTATCCTTATGAAATTCTTTGATTTTCATCACTTCCCACCACCACCAACATGGTTCATATTCTTAGCACATCTTCTTTGAATTGATACCAGTATTTTGAATGAGATTTCCTTTCTCCAGTTTCTTCTGCCCACAGTCTGTCCTGAAGCATACTTCCAAAACACCTTTGGAAGCTGCTTTCTACCCTGAGAAGCAGCAGTAGCTACATTAGGTTTGAATTCTTCCTCCAGCATGTTGGCCATCTGTGGTCTCAATTCCAATGTTCTCCCCCTTTGCGGCTTCCTTTCTAGCCAGTTGTCTTCTTTGTTGCCTCTCCCTTCCCCATCTGAACCATGCTGTCCATTCTTACAGTCTCTTCCTTACTACCAACTCCCCTCTGCCCTCTCCATCTGTCCTGAAAGGCACATGCAGACCCCTTGGATTCTTTCAAGTTTCACTAATTTCCTCTTTCTTCAAACTCCTATCACTGATGATTGGTGTTTTATATTTCACTTCTTTTTTTAAAAAAAATATTTTATTTATCTAATCATGAGGGACACAGAAAGAGAAGCAGAGACATATGCAGAAATAGAAGCAGGCTTCCCGTGGGGAACCTGATGCAGGACTCGATCCCAGGACCCCGGGATCATGACTTGAGCCAAAGGCAGATGCTCAATCACTGAGCCACCCAAGTACCCCTCTATTTTACTTCTTAACCCGTTTTGCCTATCAAAATACTTTGCCATTTTCCAGAGGAAAAATAATTTGCCTTTTGTCTTCCTCTATGTTGCTTAGTATAGTCCTTGGCTTACAATAAAACCTTTATAAATGCTCTTTGAATGTTTTCTTTCATTGACAGTGGATTCCTAGATTATTTTTCTGATAGGAAGACTCTCCAAGTATCCTTCAGTAAATATCTACACATATACTGCTCAGCATTCACTTCCAAAGGTTAAAATCCTCACCTTCTAAAATAAGAGTCATATCTGTATCTTTAAATAGAAGTCTCTAGGAAAAAACGAACAATTCCTTGATTATTGTCAGAATAATAAATGCTTAATCTACTCTTATATTTTGTAGAACTCCCCTGAGCTGGATGAAGAAGGCTACAGCATCAGACCTGAGGAACCCGGCTATATCCTTTCTTTGTTTTTTAATTTTAATCTTTATTTTCTCTAAGAAACTGTATGATAAACTCAGATTTTGAAAAGGTGTTGAAATAACCCAAGCTTCCCAAGTCCCATTGTTCCTAATACTAGAAATGAATGAACAGCAGAGAACAGCCTGATCTCTAACAAGCAGGCATTTTGCCTTAATCTATTCATTAAAAAAGAGAGAGAGAGAGGAGAAAGAGAAAAATGTACTGAGAAACAATTGTGTAAATTGCGGGTACTGGGGTTGTCTGTTAAAACCTGACATGACCATGTCACTTTTCGTGACTGGAAAAGAGCTCTCACCTGTGCCCTCTCCACAAACCATCCTTGGGCAAGCACCTCTGAAGGACGGAAAACTCCTCACGAATCATCCAGAGAGTGGTTTTCCTCTTTTGGTACACAGGGAAGCTCATGTGGGCCTATCAGTGTTTGTGCTACTGGGACATCACAAATGGTCACTCGAAGCAAAAATGTAGGACATTGAACTATTGCTCCTGGAAATTCACTATCCTTAATCGTGTTCGAAGAAAAGGTGAATAAATTCAAACCCTTTCCTGATTTGCTCTTTAGTCATCTGTGTATTTTGCTTTGATTTTCTGCCATCTAAGGGTACTTTTGCTGCCTCTATTTGCAATCACTCTTGTCTTTTACTCATTGCTTCCCATTAAGGAAAAGAGTATCTTTAAGTTATGTATCTTTAACTGTGTTCTACCTACCAAAGGAAAGCACTTTTATTCTTCAAGCGAATCGGAAGAGGAAGAAGAATCACACAAGAAATTTAACATCAAGATTAAGCCATTGCAATCTAAAGACATTCTTAAGAATGCTGCAACCGTAGACGAGCTGAAGGCATCCATAGGCAACATTGCACTTTCCCCATCACCGGTGGTGAGTGGTTTTATGTAGATCTTTGATGAGTCTGGACAGAGAGCTGTGTTTTGCCCATACATGTTAAATAGATCAGAAACTCCTTAAGCTGGAGGCTGCATATGGTCACCGTTTTGTGAACTTTGTCAACCTTAAACAGCTCGATCTATTTTAGAAAGCTATCCTCATTTTATACTGTAATATTTGTACTTTTCAAAATGGTAAAAATGTATGGGACCACATTTCTTTTTGACTTACTCTCCTGCAAGCATTTGAAAAAGAAGGAAAAAATAACAAAAAGATTATCCAGAGTTACTTCTGGGACAATTAAAACCAATATGAAGTTTACGTGTTTCCTAAAGATGATAATTTAAAAACATAGTGTCCTTTTTTTATGACGTAACACCTAGAAACAAGGAAATTATTTTCTTAAAAACAAACAAGAAACCAACCTTTTCATTGCTATGCTCCCAAAAGAAATATTAACCTAATATAGATCATAGTCTAAAAAGATATTAAGACATAATCCTCATATTTTATTAGCAAATTGTTTTAAGTGCTCTCATTTTTTAGGCACCTAAGATTTAGGTAGCCTTGTTTATATTATTCAAATTGGTATTTCTCTACAATTTGCTCTTCATCCCCACCCCATTCCCATCTGCCAGATTTCTGTAGTTGCTGAATTCTAAGTTCCAACACATACGCTATTTTCTTGGTGGTGGTTGATAAATGCTACAACTGTCTTCTAAAGATAGCTGTAAAGAGTAGATGAAGGTTCTCAAACTAGCAGCTAATATGTTCTTGGCATATTCTTCAGAAAGATGTGATCTTCCTACAGCAGCCCCCTGAAAGAGGTGGTTAATAAATGCTGAACCATTTTTGAGATGCTTTTTAAAAATATCTCAACTAAACTTTCTAAAGAAGTTACAATCATCTATCCTTTGAGAATAAATATTTACCTACCTGGGATGAATAAAATCTATAATGATGCCTTCTTTGGAACTTAGTGCTTATAATGGCCTTTATCACTACTGTGAGTGATGAATAAAATGACTGTTAATAGTAATCAACCACCAGAAATGATATTTCAGGTGATTTTTAACTCACTTGGTATTTCAAGATGTCTCCTTGAGAAAAGAGACATGAAATCTATTCATTTTCTGTCCATTCTGCAATAGAAGTACAAATTTTATTTTATTTATTTTTTTTTGGAAGTACAAATTTTAAACTCATACGTTGGTCTGTAATACTAGTTATTTCTAGTAAGAGGGGCATTTTCAATGCATACATTTTCACTTTTCAAGTTGACATCTTTCAAATCATTTTTCACTCACTGATTTTTTTTTAAAATTGATTATAAAATTTTATCTAAATGCCTGAAATCCATTTATATTCACTTTTCTGTAGGGTCTAATACACTTAGTGGGCATTTGGAAGCTACCTGGGAGTATGTGTCAGAAGATAAGATCATGGGATTAAATGAACAAATTTACGTGAAAGAAAATTTACTGGAACAGTTTCAGATACACAGTATATATTTACTGAGAGCTAGTTGCATCTAGGAAGGAAGAAATCCCCTGTATCACAAACAATATGTATGCCCAAGTCACCTGGCAGATATTCCTCCAACCAGATATGTTGCTGAAGGTGCAGCAAGAAGAGTGGTGGTTTACTCTGAACTCTTCTCAACGCCTATTTTCAAGGTAATATCTTGATATGATGTGGTTAAGACTGATGAAAAGATTTAGGGAAAGCAATGTGAAGAGTAGTGGGGACACCCAGGGAAATCAACTACGGAGTTAGGCCATTTCTTCACACCAACAACACCACAAACCAAGGGACCCTCGGATCCACTTACCGCCACCACCCCTGCATCCCCAGCTTGCTCCCTCTAATGTGAGAACCTGGCTCTGCCATTAGTATGATTCCCAAACATTTATGATGTTTGATATTTAGTATAGGGGAGTGGGCTGTTATTGCTACTTTAGGGAAAGGTAGTGTTTCTGGATATACATAAGTAAAAAGAGAGATTGTAACGGAGAACATATTCTTGGTTTTAGGATCCTTACTCTCTTCTAGATAACCCATGTGTACCTACATTTCACAAATGACATGAATAGTATGTTATCTCCAGAACCAGAAAGTAGAAAAAAACCATCTGAAATCCAGTTAGTGTCATGATAAAAATGGCAAATCCTTTGTGCAACTTTAGATGTTTCCAGTCAGACAATCAGACATGTATATGTCTACACTGAGTTCCGGTACAAAAAAGAGAAATAGAGTCTATGCTAGCTAATAATATATCAGTATATTTCATGTAGGCTATGATTCTTATGCTACAAAAGCGTCAATCATCATACTAATAGAAATAGAGGAAATTTCAAATGGTAAACTATTCATAACAATGGCTTATGCTGGATTTCTAATCTCTATTTCTTTTAAGGAATTTAAAGATTAGGTTGTGTTTCACTTGTTCTGTTCATCCATCTGTGAATATGTATCAATGAATTATAACTCATTTTATATCTCTTATAATAAACAGGTCTTATTTTATTTGAATGTTTCCCTATACACACTACATGGCCAAATTACCCAATAATGAATGAAATGAGTGAATGGATGGATGGATGCATGCTGTATCATATAGAGATAGCTATGTGTATATATAATATAAACCTACCTGAAAATTACTCCTCCCCAAAACAAAACATAAGCAGCAAAGAAAATCAGGGTTTTGATTGTTGGCAAAAGTCCTACTATATAGACAAATGAATGTAATTTCAGTCCAGAACTTGCCTTGGCCCTTGATTTTTTACAGAAGTATAATGTGGGCTGGAACAAGATAGAGGACCACAAAAGAAGAGGGGATAATGCAAGGGTTAACTCACAGGAAAGGATGTTAATTTCTATTCTTTTCATGTTGTAGTCTCCTGAAAAGATACTGTGCTGATTGGGCAAGAAATGAATAGCACTCAGGTTTGAGTTGTTGATTTGGTATCTGTACAAATTAGAACATTGGAAGAGCTGCTTTAACAGAGACCAAAATAGTAATGACTTTAACAAAACAAGTGGGGTTTACTTTTCTCCCATGTAAAAGTCAAGACTGGCAAGCACTCCAGATGGGTAATAGAGCCTTACTCTAGGCTTTATTCAAGAACCCAGAAACTTTCTCTATTATTGCTCTACCTTTCTGAGACTGTGCCTCTCTTACCACCATCAATAACCTCCATGTTCCAGCCTTGGGATGGAGGAAAGAGAAAATAAAAGGCAAGTGGTTTTCTTTAAAAATTTCACTAGGAGTTTGCAAACATCACTACCATGAGCCATAATTGAGTCACAGCCACATTAGCTAAAAGGGAGTCTGGGAAAATGTAAATAGGCATTGGCTGTTTACATTTGGCTGGATTGACATGTAACCAGCTAAAATTCAGGGTTCTGTTATAAAAAGACAAAGGAGTGAATGAATAGTGGTGGGCATTGACAGTTTCTGCCACTGGGTCTTAGCTAATCTCAGATTCCTTCTGGAAGTTCCTTAGGAAATGGATTTTTTCCCCTATTTACCTGCAAACTATTTGCAGAACCTATTGAACCCAGGAGGTTTCCTTTTAAAAATTTCTAATCACTAAATTCTAAATATACTAGCCAGCAGCAGATGAACAGTAACAAATTTCATTAAAATACAACCTGTTTGGATGATACTGACCCTTCCAATAGTAACAGTGCTTCCTCTGTCTTGCAAAGTGCACTGCTTTTTGAGGCAGGCTGTTTCATTGTTGAAAGAAATTATTAAAACCAAATGCTATCTCTGTGCAACTTTTGTCCTTGATTGTAGCTGTGCTGTTTAGAAGATTAACAAAGAATAAAACGCCTCCTTTTCTACCTCCAGGTTTATAGTACAGGATATTTATTAAGGAGTGACCTTGGGCTTACCTCGTGTGGGGTAGGGTGGGCAGAAGGAGAAGTTAAGCAGTTCTCATGCTCAACAACAGCCTGAGCTGACCATACAGGGAACTCTAGAGCTAGCATGCCCCTTCAGAATTGTCCTGAGTTTGACTGAGATGAATAACCTTTTTCCTGCCACATCAGTCACTGCTCTGATATAGGCAAGCTAAGAAGAGGATTGGCCTTAGAGCAAGTGGCTCTGGGCAGCGGAGGCAGATCCTGAGGTGCTGTGTGAATAGCACACCTCGCAGCTGGTACAAGAAATCTTTGGAAGAGAAATCTGCATGGTACCTTTGGGGTCTACCCCAAAGTTTACCTAACTGTGCTCTCATCTTGGTCACGTATTTCCATTTCATTCAAACCGGTGATAGAAGCTCATTGAACACAATGAATTTGAGAAACCCAGGATGTCTGCAGCTTTGCCTAAATCTGTCAGAGCAAAAAACCTATTGGAGATAATGGTGGGTTTAATTTGCCATAAGTATTTCTTCGTGCTGGCACCTAGGGTTATCACCTTCTTTTCCAAGTGCTTTGTGTCTGCCCGTTTACATAATTTTTTCTATAATTTTGGGTTTATAGGAGGCAGCTGTGTGGTCTACAGTGTTCTACTTGTGTGACCTTAGATAAGCTCCATCATTGTTCTGAGCCTCTATTTCCTCTTCTGGAAAGTGAGGTTAATAATAGTCCTTAATAGACTTTTTGTGCAGATTATTGTAGGTCTCTGGCAGGTCAATCTTCTTTGACTTTTTGTACCCTGTGCTTAGCACAGAGCATGGCCCACATTAGGCACTCAGATAGTTATTTAGTAAATGACTTATGAACAAAGCAAAGCATGCAGAAGATCCTAGTCACAGTACCTGATGCATAATTAGTACGTTGCAATTCTTGGCTCTTTAATATTAGCTGTATTAGTCAGGGTTCTCCAGAGGAACATAACCAACAGGGGTGTGTGTGTGTGTGTGTGTGTGAAGAAATTTGTTATGAGAAATTGGTTCACATGATTATGGAGGGTAAGGAGTATCACTATATGTCATCTGCCAAGTGGAGACCCAGGAAAGCTGCTGGTGTAATTCACTCTA